AATTAATTTTTAATTTTTTTGATGCACGATTAACGCATGCACATTATGTGACTATGGCCCTCGGCCCACCCTGTAGTTTTGAAAATCAGGAAGCAATACAGCAGCAGAAATTAACAGAAATTGATAAAGAAAAGAGTCTTTTGAATGACAAGTTCAGTTTCAAAGCCCTGCCTCCCGACAAGACCAAAGTCATTCTCATTTACTGTCGATGTGAACTGAGTTACCACCAGAGTATGTCGAGTTTCAAATACCACTTGCTGGCCAAGCACACAGCTGATGCAGAGAGCCCTCCTCACCCTCGCCAAAGCCAGACCACGCTGGATAGTTTGCAACAGAGACACCTGGACAACTCTACAAACAACAAATTTTAAACAGCAATGGCTAAATTGGTTGCTACAGTTTGCAGGCCGCTGCGCTCACCAGAGACTACTGGACTTCTCTCAGTAATCACAGTTACCTCAGGTTCCCTTTAAGATACATTTAGAACCAGTGGTGGAAGAAGTACTGAGGTCCTTTACTTAAGTAAAAGTAGTAATACAACTGTCTAAAAATACTTTGTTACAATTAAAAGTCCTGAGTTAAAAATGTTACTTAAGTAAAAGTACAAAAGTATTGGCATCAAAACATACTTAAAGTAATAAATGTAAGAATACTCATTATGCAGAATGTTACATTTCACATTTCATTTAATCACAAGTTAACTATGGACAATAATGTGATTAATCGTGATTAAATACTTAATTTGATTGACAGCATTAATAGCAATAAAACCACCAATACCTACAAACCAAGCCAAAACAGAGAAAAAAAATAAAAATACCTCAAACAAAAAACAACAACAATAATAACAACAAAAACATCTTTGCTGAAGAGAAATCAATCTATTTTAACTTTCTCCTAAAAATGATTAACCTGCCATTATATTCAGCTTCATTCCTTCCCACTCTAAACATCTACTCAAGAATACATAACAATGCTAATGTATTAACTTATTTGTGTTCCTTTCATATAGTATGTACC